GGAAGGATGGATGGATGGATGGATGGAAGGAAGGATGGATGGATGGAAGGATGGATGAAAGGATGGATGGAAGGATGGATGAATGGATGGAAGGATGGATGGATGGAAGGAAGGAAGGAAGGATGGATGGATGGATGGAGGGAAGGATGGATGGATGGATGGATGGAAGGATGGATGGAAGGAAAGAAGGATGAATGGATGGATGGAAGGTTGGATGGATGGATGAATCAATGCCTGCAAGCAGGGCCCGGGCAGTTAGATGAGCAGGCCAGGGATACAGAGATAACTGGTAGTAGGTTCTCTTTCCAGTTATAGCAAAACGGCCCACTAATCTAAGCCCCTGGATGTGGCCAGGCCGCGGGCAGGTTCCCAATTGCGCGAGCGGATTGCATCTCAACGATTCTGGGATCAAAGCTGCAGGTTCTTCTCTTTTCTTTAGACTCAGGGAAGGTAAGTTCGCTCCCCTAAAAATGACCAATGAAAAAAATCCGCGCCGAGCCAGCTAGGAGTCGAACCTAGAATCTTCTGATCCGTAGTCAGACGCGTTATCCATTGCGCCACTGGCCCTGCACATGCACACTTTCTCGCAGCGGCCGCTTATCAGGCTGCACGCAGTCGCGTCAAGCTCCAACCAGCCGCCAGGTTTCCCGTGAATGCACCTCCCCCTCCGCCAGCCTCGGGTTCCCTGAGCCCGCGAGCAGGCACGCAACCAATCCTCGCCGCGCGCGGCCTGCGTCACTCCGCTCTTCGGCCCGCCTCGCTCCTTCCTTTCCTCCCTCCCGTTTCGCCCGAGAATCTCTTCGCGTTCTGAGGCTCTTGCCAAGTTTGTCCCGGTCCGCGCTCCGTCCGCGCCTGGGATAGGCGGGTCGGGGGTGGGGCTGAGGAGAGATTCTGGAAGCCGGGCAGGGAGCTGCGGCGGCCGCCTCCGAGGCTGACCGGCAGGACCCCAAGCGCAGAGCGGCGGCGGAGCAGGATGGCGGCGGTGGCCTACGAGACTCTGCAGCTGTGAGTAGCTCCGGGCACCCGGGAGCGGGGTGGCACCGAGGCAGTTGGCCGGGCCGGGCCGCGCCGCCCTCCCTCATTGGCCCGCCCGGGGACGGCGGCCGGCCGGGGCCCGTTCTCGCCGCCTCCTCCTTCGCTTCGCAGCTGCGGGGCGCACGCCCAGCGCGGGACGGGGCTGGGGGAGACCTCGGAGGCCAGGGCCGGCCCGCGCCGGACGGGGATGGGTCAGGTCGTCTCCTCCCTGAGGACTCCCCCGGGCGGCGGGTGCCCCGGGGGCCGGCCCTGGTCCCCGCCTCCGCCCCTTCGGGTGCTGAGGGACTCGCACCTAGCCCGGAGGCGCGGCGGCGGCGGAGGAGCAGGCCCGGGGCCGAGGGAGGGGGCGCCCTGCCCGGCGAGGGCCGCGGGTGCGTGCCGGGTGCGTGCCCTTGTCCGGACCGGGCTGTGCTGGCACTGAGCGGCCCCTCGCCCTCCCGCCCCGCCGCCGCCGCTTCTCCTCTTTTCTCTCTCTTTCTCCTCTTTCTCCTTCTTCCTTTCTCTTCTAATGCTTTCCCTCCTTGTCCCCTCTCCTTGCTTCCTTTTCATTTCTCTCTGCTTTTCAGCAGCCTGCACCAGCCCAAAGGAGCACAAAGTGACTTTTGATTCCCGGGCAGCTTGGAGCCTGTAGACGGCCCCTTAGAGTAACAGCCCCGGGCACGCCGGGTGTAGACGGCCGGAAAGGCCTGCTCGGCCGGGGCAGGGAGCGGGCACGCTCGTGCTCTGGCTCTGGGTGGGGGAGCGTTCTTCTAAATGGATTGATTTTGGGTCTGCGAGCATTAAAAACTATCCACAGACTCATTCCTTAGGGGGAGGGCAGGCGGGCCCCGGTGTGCTCGGCCCTCCTCCCTCCCGCCTGCTCTGGAACCAGCACAGCAAACCTCAAAAAAAGCTGTAAGAGATTGAAATCATTTTGATGGAGGAAACTGAGGCAAGGGCACGCAGGGCATCAGTGACAGACCTGGAACTCGGGTCTCCTGCCTCCTAGTCCTGTGCTGCTGCTGCTAAGCTAGGCCTGATACGTGCTCCAGAGCTGCAGGTGACCTCAGAGGCCATCTAGACCACCCCTGTTATTTTACAGAGAAGGAAAATAAGGCCCAAGGTCGCCCAGCCAGCTTGTGATGACTTCTGTACCTTCGTGACTTGTACTGCTATAAATAGTTGTCTTGTTCCTTGGTCCGTGATTTTTGGTCATAAGGTTTTTTGTTGTTTTGTTTTGTTTTGTTTTTTTCTGACACTTTTATCTTAGTTTTTTTATTGCGTTTACAGGACACGATACATTAATAATCCCTTGGGAAAAAATGGAAAACTAAGTCCTTCTGTATTCCTTGGCTTTACAAAACTTCTTGGCCTGAATCACCAAAACACCAGAAGGAACAATCGATGATTTCCTGGCCTTTCATATAGTTTGATGCCCCTATTTGAATATTTGTCTTAAGTATTCTTAATAAATTGCCTCCAGGATATTTGGAAATCTCTTAGCCCCACCAGTGAGTGCCTGGGTGCTTGCAACACAAGACACGCAGACACACACTCTCTCTCTCTCTCTCTCTCTCTCTCTCTCTGAAAGCTTGCATGGAATTGTCAGTAATACTGTTATCACTTATGGGAGATAAGGTGTCCTGGGCAGTCTTAGGGTCAGCAGGATGGGGGAGAGTTTCTCAGCACCGTCCTATACAGGTAAAGTTGGGGGTTGAAACACAGGAGTAGGGTTTACTGCATCTTTTGCAAAATTCTGGCTGTGATATAAATGACACATTTTCTGAGCCTTGTATAACTTATGACTAGGACTTAAAATCCACCATGCCTTTTTTTCCTTTCACCTTGGCTGCACACCTATTTACTTATCTGAGAGGTGAGCCCTGTAGTGGCTGAATGAGTGTAAGCTTATTCTTTGACTAGGACTTTGCACGTAGGAAATGTGGTCGTTGTTTTGGATGATGATCATTACTGAGGGATAAGAGAGCGGATGTCATCTAATACCACCTCTCAAAAGTATGTAAGCCTCATGGAAGCTTTTTCCCTCATAAAACTCAGCGCTAAATTACCGATTCCAATTAAATCATTGAGTGACATTGATTTAAAGAGGATGGAGGGACTGTGAAATGTAGTTGTTTTCAATAAGTCTCATACAGAGTTTAAATGTTTGGCATCAGGAAAAGGAGTAAAAAAGGGAAAGGACATTTGGTCCTTAAGTGGTAGAAGCTGTTGTTTTACCCATTGTTGCTTGTTTTTTTCTTTTCTTTTTTTTTTGTCAGCACAGACCATAAATGCTCTTCATGTTTTTAAAAAGTAAGCCCTACACTCAATAAAAGTCATTCTCTGGTTTATCTATTTTATCAATTGAACTTCTTTCTAAATTTTATTTTTTGTCTGCTTAATAGGTTACTATATTCTCCCTAATCCCCCTCCACCCCTTAACTACAGTACTGTTTTTCTTTCATCAAATCATTTTGATCATTAGGTCCTCTGCTTTTTTTCATTTGGCCCATAATGCCTTCTTTCAGAGTCTCTCTGAAAGTACAGCATTAATCTTCCCTTATTGAGGGAGGCATCCTAGAGGTAAAGCTGGCCTCTGAACCAGAAATAGCCAGTGGAACTGGAGCATAAACATGGTGGTTTGCAAAATAAATGTTTATGTGTATAAGAGGTTATATTAAGGATAGACCTGTATCTAAAAATCTAATTTACAAAGTAGATCATTTAAAGGGTAATTTTGTCTTATTTTTTAAACAAGCACTATGGGTTTTGTTTAATTATTGAGTTGGTTACCATTTTGTATAACATTGTGCTCATAGAATGTTGTTTACTTATAAATTCATCCTATAACTGTATTGCTAAAAAGTGAAATGTACCCACACTAGCAAAAAAGACCATGGGAAGCATTTCCTGTGGGAGCCTTTTCTTAAAGAACTTCTGTTAAAATGATCAATGAACTGAGGTCTCTGCACGTCAAATGAGGTAGTCAGACTCTTTGCCATCTTAAAAAGCACTGTTGAAATACTTGCTATGATAATGATAATAATAGCAATAAACATAATACTCCAACTGAATTTACCTTCTTTCTTAAACCACCTCTCTCTCCATGCTAACTTTCTTAATTCCATCATTGGCACCACTGACATATCCTTCTCTAATCTTGAATCTTCATGGCTGTTCTTTTTAAAAAAGAGCTAAAATGGACCTCAAAGTCAGTCTCATCCACTCCTTTCATTTTTGTTGTTCTTGTTCAGTTCTGTCTGACTCTTCATGATGCTTTTTGGGGTTTTTCTTCCGGAAAGATACTGGAGGGGTTTGCCATGTTCTTCTCCAGCTCATTTTTATAGATGAGGTAACTGAGGCAAACAGGGTGAAGTGACTTGTCCAGGGTCACACAGCTAGTAAGTGTCTGAGGCCGGATTTAAACTCAGGAAGATGAGTCTTCCCAGCGCTCTATGCAGTATGGTGCTACCTACCTGCTCGTATTTACAGATGAGGAAACTGAGGCCCAGAGATTGAAGTATTTTGATCAAACTCATGCAGCTAGGTAGTTAGTGGTAGAGCTGGGCCAAGACTCACATCCAGGTCTCCTGATTTTTTTTAGCCCAGTTCTCTTTCCATTCCACAGTGTACCCCCTTCCCTGTTTTCTGGTCAGTCATCTTTGTGATGATGATTTTTAAAACTCTGTTCCTCTTCATTGCCTCTTCTCTATGCAGTGGCTTTCTGGCAGATCTTCTAATCTTTCATTTTCCCTGGCTTTCTCATCACATTCACTACTTTTTTATCTTTTTACTTGCCTTTATGAATCTTTGAATGGCTTCAATGCACGTCAATGAAAACTCAAAATTATGAGCCTCGCACTAAGAGTTCTCCACAGTCTACCTTCTTCTACCTTACCTTAACTCTTTAAAACTTGAATCTCTGATTTTATCAGCGTAAGGATCTCCATTGCTTACCAGAGTGCTTGGTGCACTGGGACAATTAATTAATGTTTACTGACCCGACTGGTAAGGAGTTTCTTTATCTTCTCTGCCACTTACAGGTATGGTGAGTTGCCTGGGACTCTGAAGAGTTTTGTGTCAGCCAGTAGGGTCACCAGAGGCAAGGCCAGCTCTCTTCTCTCTCTCTACTGTGCGGTGCTACTTCTCACTAATCTTGCCTCATCACCTACCTGCCTCTGTAGCCAGACTAGTCTCTTTGTTGCGCCCCCAAGGTGATGTGTTCATTTTGGACTACCCGCCTTTGCTCAGGTCATTTTCTTGAACGAGGACTTTCTTTCCCTCTTCTATTCGAATCCTTCCCATCTTTTAAAGCCTAGGCTCATCCACGAGGCCTTGTCTTTACAATTCCACGTTGATTCTGAGCACCACTAACATTATTCACTTTGGCATGTATGTGAGACTGCTAGAAAGGACCAGCACCATCAGCCCCTGGAACCACGAGGGACTTCCCCTCCCCTTCCCCAGTGCTGTTCAAGGCTGGCCCATGGAAGGAGCAGCACCAACAGCCTGTGTCCTGAGCCTCACTCTCTATGGGACACCCCCTTGTAACAAAATACAACTGTTAAGGAAAAACATCTGACTGTATATATGCCTTTCCACACCCCTCACTCCTCACTTCTTAGATAAAGGAGGGACGTGTTTCGTCATCTAGCCTTTGGCACCAAGATCTGGTGCCTTTAGAATTGTGTGTTTTATTCTCCTGATTCTACTTTCCCTCAGAATTAGGTGAGATTTTCTTGTCTTTCTCTGAATTCCTTTTATTTATTGTTTAAGATGCAGGAATACCTTATTCCTTACATATTCTGCATTTTGTTTGGTCACTCCCCAAGCAGTGTGCCCCAATTTGTTTGCTACCACAAATAGTGCTGTCATGAATATTTTGCAGCCTTTCTGTCTTTGACTTCTTGAGATGTCTGTCTAGTAGTGAGATTTTTAAGTCAAAGGGTATGACTGCTTTAGTAACTTTTCACGTACTCACAAATTTCACA